TGAAAGGTAGTTAGCAAACTAATTATGATCAACTCCAAAACCAGATGGCCTGGATTTATATTTCTGCTCCATCACTTACAAGTTGTGTGAGTAGGGGCAAATTACTTCTCTGTACTTACTTATCCCATCTGTGAAAGAGGGATAATAATGCTATCTACGTAAAGTACTGGATGAGTACATAGCAAACACTACATATGTATACGTGTGTATGAAAGCACTATGCATATATGTGCATGTGTATGTACATATATAAACACGAGTACTAGTATGGCTACCTATTGGTTTGAAATGCCAGCTCTTGTTTGACGCTAACTACACTCCCTTCTTAATCTTCCTGACTGTCCCGACTTGTCAACCAAGAGCATTTTGCCTCCAGCTCACTCCTGGCATGTATCGCACCTTTTACTGCACACACTTCTATCTCTTCCACTAGGCTTCTAATTTTTTTTTTTTTTTTGGAGAGATTTTCACTGTAGGGCGCGTGCGCTCGCCAGACAGACAGAGAGAGACATAGAGACAGAAAGTGAGAAATCACCCCCCAGGGGGGATGGTCACACCACAATCCCTTCTCCTCCATTCTCCTCTCGGGATCTTGGGCACGCACGCTCATGCGCCCGGCGTGAGTTTTAAGCCACCGGGTCCGGGACACGAACCGCGGTCGACTACGTGGGAATCCAGCGACATAGCCATTACGCTAGCTGCTGGTTCCCTAGGCTTCTAACTTTTTAAGGGTTTAGACTTTTCATCCTATAATACCTAGTTCTTCATACATAGAAGGTTGAATAAAGTCTTGTTAGATCAACATAACGAACAGCAGTACTTAAGCATTACAGTTATGAAATTCTAAGGTCATATATGTTTACCTGGGTTTCATCCAAGTTTCGCCCAATGATATCCACAGCTGCCGTTCATCAGGACTGACAGTATAATTTAAGAAATCAATTGTATCCTTGGTCAACAAGGGGCTGAGGACTGACCTGGCTAGTTCAGGCCCTCCTGTTGCCTGCACCACCTAAAACGATAAGTCATATTTTAGTGGAAGATGACTATTAATTGTGTATTTTTGAAATGTGTAGACAAACACCCACGGTGAAAACAAGCATTCTTTCTATAGGCTCAGATTAAATGCTGATGCTGCGCAATGCACTGCTGAACGCAGAGCAAGATCAACTTTTCCAGCCCAATGGTGTCTTCTGATCTAAAATGAAAGCCAGTAGCCTGACAGTTTTAACAGTATTTGCCCACTGGCTGCATGTGATTCTATTTTTCCCGAAAGATATGAATGGTTCTGCAAAGAATTCTAAGTCAGGTGACATAACTATCACTGCTTTTTGTTTTTACATATATATCTACCTCTCCTGGTAAATCTACCATGCCAAAATCTACCATGCTATATTGAAAAATATAGGTCTAGAAATGAATACCATCGAGAATAACAGGGATCAACTGCCCAAGACTGTGCTTATACAGACGTACAAAAATAAAAGGACCCAGGAAGAAGGATTAGAAAAAAAATGAAAACTGGTACTCTGGACCTATGGCGTTTTCCCCAGAGTTTAATTCTAGGAAATTTATCTGACTTAATATAGATAATTTGAGAATGATTAAAACAAACAGATGCAATAAAAAAATTAAACGATTAAAAACAAACAGATGCAATGCCCCGATAAGCAAAATGATGATAAGTGGATGTTCAAAAACCTGCCCCAATTTTTCTCTCAGGAGGTGTCCCTGGCTAAGGAACGGTAGCTATCTCCGACAGCAGAAACCAGAGCTCTTTTATAAAAGCTCACGTTCTCAGTGTGGCAAAGAAGAGAAGAGACCTCTTTGAATGAATGCTCCAGGTTAAGATCAATTTCTCTGCAGTCATCTGGGAGTTCTCAGCACGCTATGCTGTCTTACACTTCTGTGCATTTGCATGTGTCATTCCCAGGGTCCCAGAAGGTCCCTCCTCCGTCATTCAGAACTCTATTCAGGTTCCACCTTTCCTGAAAGCCTTTCTTAACCCCTCCGTGTAACTCTGATGTGCCTTCTTCCACCCCGCACCCAGTGTTCTCAAAACAACTTATACCTATTAGTAACACAGTACATCATAATTTACAGCTTCTTTTTCATTTCTCCTTCTTCAAGACTTGTACTAAGACTTACTTAACTTGAATTACAAGAGATGCAGTGTTAAGGGGCTGAATGAAAATAAATAAAAGAAAACGTGGTGGATAAAGGAAATAGGTTAAATCTTATTTGAGAACAAACCTACCCTGACTACCAAGCATATCAATTTTCAACTTCACTTCTAAGTCCTAAACGCACTTCTGGTACATACATAGGGATGACTGACAGGGAAAGTATGAATGTAAAGTAGCAAAATATTAACATCTTTGGTTTTACAGAGGGAAGAAAAAATAAAATGAGACTGTTAAATGCAAGTCTATGGGCCACAGTTCCTCTCAAGATGTGAGTACGCAGGTGTGCACACACAGGTGCTGTGGGTGTGCTAGTGTGCATCTACATGCTAAGGGAGAAGGGAGAGACTCACAACCATTAACGTTACTAAGGTCTGCTTGGTCAGTAGTAGGCCCTGGATAATTGTCCTTCTCATCCCCATGTCAAGTAAAATGTCTAGGGTCCCATAGGAAGAACTTTAAGTGGAGCATTGGAAGTTAAGATGACTGGGGAGATCATTAATAAGGAGACAGTTTTGAGAAAGGCAAAAATAAAACACAACCTATTTTTCAACAGTCTGATCAAAAAGACTAATTTGTAAAGGAAACCAGTCCCATTAGTTTACAGCTTTCTGCTGTGTCATGACTAGATATCTACTAAGGATCTGTGAAAGAGCACGAGAGAATAAGAGGAGGTGACAAAAACTGCTTTAGAAATAATGCTTCCTAATACCCAAGTCAAGATAGCATCAAAGGCATTTAAAGAATAAAGAATACAAATTCTGTTGCAAAGTTAGTATCAGTTTCTTTGCATATGTGTGGCCTTGATCTAATTTTAAAAAGAGCTCATGAAGCAAGAATTATTCAACAATAACTAGACAAGTAGAAATCTGATGCACTATATATAGCAACAACATATGGAAGCATTCATAAATTATGGATGCAGTCTTGGACTTTCATCTTCTAATCTCTTATTGCTCAGCTTCTGACATTCATGCTGATAATGTTGCTTATTTTCCTACATTTGTAAAGCAATACTCATTTCATATGCTACTTCAGGTCTTGTCTAGTTACCCCCCAGGGAAAGAAGGAGGAGACTCATCTCTTCCTGTTACTTAAGAGTCTCTCTTCTCTTAAATTTTTTCTAATATGCAAGTAAAATCTATAAGAAATGTTGAATTTGCTCCATTTTTGATAATATCAGAGAACTCAATGACCATAATCTTCATATGCTTTTAAAATTAATTAGATTTATGTGGTTACCATTCTTAATTTTTTTAAAAAAAGATCTAATCACATTACCAACAATTCTTGTAACTACTATTGTCATTCTATAAAATAATCACTTCTTTTGAGAGGGTGAACCACTCCATACACTCCTGCCTTGCCCCATAAAATGGGAAACTCTTTCCTCCTAGAAATGGTTTTGTTTGTTTGTTTTAGGTTTTTGCCATAGGGAGTGTGAGTTCCCCAGAGAGAGGTAGAAAAGGGGAAAGTGAGTAATTAATCCCCAGGGTTATGGCCACGCTGCAGTCCCTTCTCCTTCATTTTCCTCTTGGAATTTGGGGCACTCATGCCCACATGCTCAGCATGAATTTCAAGCTGCCAGGTCCAGGACTCAAAAAGCAGGTGACATATGGGAATTCAGCACCTTAACCTCCATGCCACCTGTTGGCCCTAGAAACGTTTGTTTGTTTTTTAATTTATTTTTATTATTCCAATTTATTTTATACATTCAATCATTGTACATCACTACAGCTTGTAAAATGAATTACCCAATATGAATACACTTCACACCAGCTCAGTTGAAGATATCATACACATTATCATCAACAGACAATTCTTCATTTCTGTATCCCCTAAGTGTCTTCCCTCTCTATTTTTTTCCTTGATTCTTTTCCTCTCACTCTCCCCCATTTCTATCCTCTTCCCACACCGTCTCCAGTTTCCATAACCATTCTCCATGCTTCTATATCCTCCAATCTTTCCATTTCCACCACAGACTGTGGCCAATCAGTATATATTAAATGGAGACATGCCATGTCTCTCCTTCATAGCCTGACTCACTTCACTCAGCAGTAAATCTTCCATATTAATCCACTTTCTATCAAACGCCAGGGTCCTGAGTAGTACTTCATAGAGTATACGTGCCACACTTTTTCAATTCATTCATCTGTTTGTTGACATTTGGGTTGGTTTCATGTCCTAGCAATCGTGAATAATCCTACAATAAACACAGATGTGCAAGCTGAGCATTTTCCTATCTCTTGGGTAGAAACCCAGTGGTGGAATTGCTAGGTCATATGGTAGTTCTATTTGTAGATCTTTGAGGAACCTCCATATTGATCTTTACAGTGGCTGTACTAGAAATATTTTTAAAAGAGATTCTGCCTTCCTTCTCTTGTTTCCCCCAATAAAAAGACAATATCAAATTTATAGAACTGAACAACAACAACAAAGTACCTCACAGACAACTCTGTTTTGGGATCTATGTGCAAAACCAATAAACATTCCATCTGTTTCTACAGCCATGTTTTTTCCTAATCCTAGCACTTTTCTGTGCGTACTCTTTTTTTTTTTTTAATTTCTTTTTTAAGGTTTTTGCCACAGGGCATGTGCACTTGCCAGAGACAGACAATGAATGACAGGGAAAGTGAGAAATCACCACCCAGGGGGGTGTGTACTCTTACATATTATCCTAATTCTCCTAGCTGTCCTGTCAGGCAAGATGATTATACATAATGTCAGCTTGGAAACATTACTATTATGGTATAAACAAATGTAAGAAATATAAAATGGGGAGGGAAGTATGTTACTGTGTCTATTTTTCATATCACTGTATATGCTTCACAGATCACAAGTAGACAACTAGTCATTACACAGAAGAAAGTTGTAAACTAATGAGACTGGTTTGCTTTACAAATTACTCTTTGTGATCAGCAAAACATAGAGCATACCTGGATTTTTAAAATCTGGAAAATGAAGACATGTATCTTGAGTCCTGGCCCATGATGCAAGTGGTATGACTTTCTGCTGGATAAACTCATGGGACCACCCAGTTCATTCACAAAGGGCATTGTTCCCGAAACATCGTTTTGTTAGGTTTAAAAATTCTATCTATGCAAAAATATACATCTATGAGAAGAGAAGCTTCTGAGGTGCAACTTTCTTATGTGTGTATCATTACACCTAGCAAATGTGGGCATGCCAAAGACTGAGAGGTGTTCCCTAGCATCCGTTCTTTTCTTCATTTCATAAAGAGAAGCCCCCGCACTTTAGAGGGCATATAGACACCCAGAGACCACATTCCTTTGCAGTTAAGTATGGCCATCTAAAGAAACTAGGCCAGTTGGAAGATGTAGGCAGAAATTATGTATTTAAGTTCAGAGTCACCTCCTTAAAGAGAAAATTGCTGTCCCTGGACTTTCTTTGCCTTCATATGGCTGTTATTAGCACATGGAGGTAAAGCAGTTTCCACCATAAAGTCATCTGACAGCATTACTCAACTCCTCCTATGGGAAACATTTCTTCATTTGAATTCCAGAATACCACAATTTCCCATTTTTCTTCTTCTATCTCCAATGTTATATGGCCAAGCATTAAATCTCTCATTAGATTATTTTAACAACCTCCTGAGTCCCTCCTTCACCTGAATTTCTAAACATTGCAGTTAGGACAATCTTTTACTGCTGAAAAATCTCTGTCAAAGGTCTACCATTGTTTCTCAGGAACGGCAAGATGTTTCTTTCTGTTACCTGGATGCGCCTCATTTCCTTTTAATCTTTTCCTCCCTCATCCTGCTCAAGTGAGAATACTTTTCCTAAGAATATGTTTTGCATGCTCCCACCTCAGAGTATTTACACTGGCTGTTTGAGGCTCTTCTTTCAGAAACCTACCTGACTCATTTTTTACTTCCTTTACTCCAATGACATCTTCTCAGAGGCTTCCCTAACCAGCCCTATGTAAAAAATAACACTCCATAACACACACACATGCAGGTGTGCTCTCCTGTGGCATTCCCTGTTTCCTTTCCCTGCTCTACTTTTTCTGAATTTCAGAAAACTGTGTTTTATTGTACATTCTGATTTAGCTTACTGGTAGCCCCTCTGTACTATAATAGAGTTCCAAGAGGGTGAGAATTTCTGTTTATTTTGTTCCTGGTGAGCTACTATAATGTCAAGCACATGGAGACGGTCAATTAGTATTTGTAGAATAAAAACATAAATGAATAAACAATTCAGTGACAGACAATTCAGGAGATGGAGGAACATCTCAATGAAAAGAATAGGGTCTCTGAATAGCTTCATTGAGCAAAGCTATCCAGCCAGCACTGGCCGTCTCATGACTAGCCTACTTAGTGAGAAAGAGAAAAATGTCTGCATTGTTCAAACGACTGTATATTATATACTAGTGTATACTGAAACATCAGTATCTGATAACTCTCTTTTCATTTCTCTAGATTTATAAGAAATTATTTTCTCATCTACAAAGTAAGGTTTTGGACTACATGATTTCTAAGGTTCTTTACACTCCGAGATGTCACATTTTCAGTGTTTACACAAATGGCAAGAGAAATAAAACTCATGCAGGATAATGAAGAAAAACTAACTCAGATACCTGAGGTTGTAAGACATACTAATAATAAGTACTTTATTAAATGAATAAAATCTCACCATATTTAATGGAGTGAATAGAAAATGAACCAAATCTGCAGCACTGGGATTCTGGATGTGAGACTTTAATTTAGCCTGTAACATTAAGGAGAAAAGACAAATTTGTTACTGTGATGTCATCAAGCAAAAGGTAGATACTCCAAAAGGTCTACGCAGCAGAAGCTCAGAGGAAGAGTTCTTCGCTAATAGCTCTCTATTATTACAGCCATCAGGATGAGCAAAGTAAAACTTATAAAAGTTATCAACAGTTTTTATTTTTTTTAAATTAGGATTCATTATTTTTCAACCAGGTCTCTTTAAGGATACATATCTTATGATTTGTTGCTTTATAAAGACAAAGCAAATCATACATATCAAAAATTCTATTGCAACAATTTCTCTCTTAATGTAATGAAAAACATTGAGCTAGCCTTTGATCTTTTTCATTTATTTCCTTTAATTATAAGTAAATAAATTTCACATACCAGAAGGTTAAATCCATGCTTGAATTTTTGAAAACAGTCAATAAATTCATCAGGAGGTGGCGGTTTTGCTCGCAGAGTTAAAACACCCTCTAATGAAATAAACCAGAGGGAGAGTAGATAAGAACAAAGTTCCAAGAAAATTTGTTAAATTAAAAATCAAAAATCACATTTATATCTGTAAAGTTTGGATGATAACATAAGACATGCTACCTAGTCACTCCCCCACATCTCATGGTCTGACTGTAATAAATGAAGTAGATCCAGAGTATAAAGATTTCTCTACCCTTAGGCACTATCAATTACTCATTTGGCTAAAAAGTATAAATATTATAACCTGTTTATGTTTGTCATTGTGTGTATTTTTGTGAGGACTTACAAAATCATTAAGTTATAAGCCTTGCTCTTAAGGGCCTTAAAATCTAAGAGAAGACACGAATCAGATAAATAACAGATACCAACTACATGTTAGGAGAAGAGACTGCATCTGGTTAGGAGAGGAAGAAATGTTTGAAGAAAGTAGCTTTTAACATAGAATTTGAGGGGCCAGCAGGTTGTGTGGTGGTTAAGGGAAATGGATTCCCACGTGGTTGACTGTGGTTTGAGACCCAGATTTGGCAGCTTGCTTTCTCACTTTCTCTCTCTCTTTCTCTCTCATTCTGTTCAAATTAAAATGAAATAAATACAGTTAAATAAAGATAATTCTAAAAAAAATTCTAAAATTAAAAAAAATAATAATAAAGATAGGATTTGAGGGCCAGCAGCCTGACGTAGAAGTTAAGGTGCTGGATCTCACATGGCCAGCTTTGCGGTTGGAGTCCTGGACCTGGGCCCTTGAGAATCATGCCAGGCGTGTGTGCGTGCATTCCCAAAATCCTTAGAGGAGAATAGAGGAGAAGAGACTGTGGTATGCTCATCCCCCCAGGAGGGTAATCTTTCACTTTCCTCTCTCTTTCTCTCTAGAGAGTGCCTGTGCCATACAGTAAAAATTAAAAAATAAAAACATAAAGGGATTTGAAAGATTTGTTCCAGGGCAATCTGGTGGGGAAACCATCACAGGTGGATACATAGTCACAGGTGGATACATAGCGTAAGAAAAAGCATAGGAAAAAGAAATCACCTGCATATAAAATAACAAGCAGAGAAACGTAAAAATATGAAAATGGAAGGACAGATCACGGTTAGATTGTGTGACCGGACCTCGATTGCCGAGGGTGCAAAGTTGGACTGCAATCAACAGAACATAGAATTCATGATTTTTAGCAGAAGAGTGACGTGTCCTATAGAGTTTGACAGAGCAAAGACTGAAGACTGCTTAGAAAGCTGGGTAGAAATGATGACAGCTTGAATGAGGTGCTGGTTATGAAAATGAAAAGGGAGAAGACTAGATACGAGAGACACTGAGTCAATAAAATCGATGCTGGCAGCAAGCAAGGGAATGACATCACGGAAGAATCTGTGGTTTTGAATTTTGGTGACCAAGGAAACAGTATACACTTTTTAAAGAATACAGGAGGAGCGAGTGATCTGAGACACTAGGAAGCAGTGACACTTAATTGCAGAATATGTGTAAGGGAGATACAGTCAGATAATCATATCTAGATGACAACAAAGCTAAGTGTCCTATTCTAGTTACACAGATAGGATCTAGTGAAATATTTGTAAGTCATCTGTAATGGAAGAGACACTTATTTACTTTTTTATATACATTTCAATCTAGAATTTTGTCAGAGGAATTATAAACATTACTATTATCATTTTATTCATTTTGAGGCCATTATAAAGAGCTGAACTACAGCATCCTTCAAACGTGACATATATAACTCTGTGAATACACTGTTTGGGGTTTTGTGATTAAAAAAATCTAATCTGGGCCAGCCCATAGGCTGTTGAGTAAGATGGCTGGAGCCCGTTGACCGCATGGTTCAAGTCTCAGACCTTATGACATGAGAATGATGAACACGTCAGGTTCAGTGTGTGTACATGCCCCAAATCCTAAAAGGAGAGAGAACTGGAGGAGAAGGGACTATAGCCTGACTATTCCTCCTGAGGGGCAGGTGCTTTCTCACTCCGCCCCCCCTCCAGTGAACACACAAAACTCTAGCAAATTAAAAAAGAAAAGAAAAAAATTCAAATTCATTAATAGTTTTAAATATTTTAATGACAAAAGTCAACTACTTTATCTAACAAAATAATAAGTTTTTATATTGACAATAAAATAAATCCAAACATGAGAAGAAAAGAACTATGACTTTCTTTAACAGACACTAATTTTACAATCACTAATGAAACTGTAGGCAGATTGTCACTAACTGAATGTGAGTCTCTGATTTACATAAAGCATCCTAGGATCTTTCTTCACTATCCCCAACTTGGGACCAAAATGGACCCTTCCCCGGGCTCATCTTACTCTTTGCCTAAGTGTATGCTGCTCTCCTAGAGCTAGAAAAGAGACCTTGGTTCCAGTCACAAGGCAGTAATTCTGCCAAGCACTGGAATTCAGAATGGTCTTCGAAGATTTAATAAAATCCAACTTACCTCCTGGTCCTTTCTTTTTACCTTTCTTAGTTTTCTTTCTTTTAGAAAGCTCAGAAAATGCTTCAGCTGCTTTTTGGAGTTTTGTGATAAAAAATTCAATGTCATCCAAAATGTGGTTTAAGATTTGCTGGAATTAGAAATTACAGAATAAAACAAAACTATTTTGCCTTAGGTGTACACTGTTAGTAATGAACAGAAAATTTAAAAAAAGAAAGAAGGAAAGAAATGCAAATTTCAAGTTTTCACTAATTCTAAGAAAAAGAATTGAACTAACTATACCTGTGGCTAACATCTGACAGTTACATTTTTTCTTTAGCATAATTTTACTCAATTTTAAATGCCATACAGAAAGCATTCACAATACCTACTCAGGTTATTAATTACTTTCAATTACTCTAATTTTCTCATAGCATTCTCCCACACAAAGGTGGGGAAATTCTAAGAAATATTTTGTTGGAAGAGCACTAAGCTTTTTTGCTTTCCTAATAAATGTTCTTATAAATCTGACAATATTATTCATGGAATTACAGGTATATAAAATTTTGAGATAACCTAATAAACACATAGCTAATCTACAATAATGGACACTAGCAAGATTTTCTATAGATTTAGTGATGCTCTACACTTTCAGGGATCATTGGAACAACTTGGGTTATCTTGTATTTTATAGCTTTATTGACTTTCTCTAATAGGTATGATATTTGACATTCTTCCAAATAAAAGCCTAGAGATTAGGGTCAAATAAACTTTTAAGTAAGACACGTAATAGTGTGAGGTAAAAATTCCAGATTTCAAATTCCGTTAAGTATTTCCTTCCAAATAGGCTGAGGTCATGAGTAGAGTATAAAAAGTAATTATATTAATATCATATGCTATGATTATTTCACAGGGCATTGTCATTGTGCATGTAGAAATAAAAGTAAATATGACCTTATTATTATTCATAAAGCATTAGAATTTATATATCTGTCTTTTTAAAAATGCCATTTATCTTTTATCTTTCCGGCATATATCCAAATATAGTCTTAATAAATGCCAAGAAGACATATTGAAGAGATATTTCGATTATGTACTACAAACTATGGGAAGAAAAAAAAAATCCTCAAATCTTAATTCCATTTAAATACTTTTAGAAATAGTTAATATGCTAGTTCTTGTACCACAGCCCAAGTCTACTTACTAAATATTGGCAGAAAGGCAAAAAACAGTTAAGTAGAAAAAATAATTCATAGGACCAGCAGTTAGCATAATGGCTATGTCGCTGGACTCCCATGTAGTCGACCGTGGCTCAAGTCCCAGACCTGGTGGTTTAAAGTTACGCCAGGCATGTTTGCATATGTGCCCAAGATCCCGAGAGGAGAATGGAGGAGAAGGGATTGCGGTGTGGCCATCCCCCCAGGGGGTGATTTCTTGCTTTCTGTCTCTCTGTCTCTGTCTCTGGAGAGCACACACACCCTTTGGCAAGAAAATCTCTCTCCAGGAAAAAAAAAAAAGAAAAGAAAGAAAAAAGAATTCACAAGGAATAACCACCACTGGAAAAAAAATACAGTTTCTACAAAATGCCTTAATTTAAAACAATCTTGCATTCTTGTTTTGTTTTGTCTTGTTTTCCTTAAGTAGAGTCAATGATACAAAAACAACTCTGTACTCACCACATCTCTGTCAATCCGAGCTGCCATCATCTCGGGTGTTTCCTCCTGCTCATGGTACTGCCTTGGTTTCTCAACTGAAGAAAGGAGAACCGTTAAGTCTTTCAACCTTTTGTGTACATAATGCAAATACAGAAAATTAAAATATAAACACTTCCTAGAAAACAATGCCATGTGTAAAAGAGAAGACTTCCACTGAATAAGCAAATCCAAATTGTGATCCATAAAATACATCCTTGACACTGAAAACCAGCACCTGGACACAGCTGAAGTATTGTCTTCACATGTTTATGATGTTCATTTATCCTGCAATGATGAATGTAATGTCACTTCTGCTCTCCTTTAACTATGCCAGCCACCTGTGGAATCAATCCTGACTTAGCACTCTCATTCCTACACAAGAAATATAAGCCATCATGTAAGCACCTACTTCTCAAATACCAGCCTAGCCCTAAAGCAATAGAGCACTCACTTTTATATTCCAACTATAACTTCAATAAAGCTTTGGGAATCCTTTTTTTTTTGTTTTTTTTTTTGAGAGGTTTTTGCTATAGGGCACGTGCGTTCACCAGAAAGACAGAGAGAGACAGAGAGACAGAAAGTGAGAAATCACCCCCCGTGGGGATGGCCACACTGCAATCCCTTCTCCACTCTCCTCTCGGGATCTTGAGCAAGCACGCACGCACACTCGCCCGGTGTGAGTTTAAGCCACCAGGTCTGGGACTCGAACCACGGTCAACTACGTGGGAGTTCAGAGATATAGCTATTACCTTAACTGCTGGTCCCAAGCTTTGGGAATCTTAAAAGTACAGTGCTTCTTTTTTTTTTTCCTTTCATTTATTTATTTTTACATTTTTCTACAAACATTTACTTTGCATAGCAAAAAAATTTTAGCTCATACTCCATAATTCTTGATAGTTTACAAACAACTTTCAAAATTTCAAAATACTGGAATTTTAAAGATAATGTTCAAAATATGTCTTATAATTTTGTATAATTTTATAACTCTATAACAGTGCTTCTTAAAACTCATGTTTTAATTAAACTTAAAACTCACAGAGCTGGCCCAGTCAGTGGCGCAACCTAACCTACATGAGAATGATCCTAGGTTTGTATCCTGGGACCTTTTTAAGCATGCTGGGCACACACACGTGTACCTATCTATGTTCTGGGTCAGCTAAGACAATGTGAATCATGGCGTGAAAACCTGTTGGGGGTACCTTTCTCCTTCTGTCTCTCTCTGTCTCTGTCTCTCTCTGTTTTTGTTTCTTTTTCCCTCTCAGTAGAAACCATTTAAATAATTTTTTAAATTATAGTTCTTAGTCTTTTTAAAAAGGATTATTTATTTTACTTTATTTATTATCGTTTTTTAAATATGACTAGAGAGAGAGAGAAAGAGAAAGCGAGAAAGCCAGGTCCAGGACTCAAACCAAGGTTGGCTATGTAGGAGTCCAGCATCCCTACCACCATGCCATGTCACCTACTGGCCCCTAAATTAAATAATTTTTAAAAGAAACTTACAGGGAAAAAAATCCACAATGTTAGACATGTGCATTTTAAGCCACATGCTTTAAAGAAGAATACCTATGGAAATTTGCAAATTAAAGAATAAATGTCTTGAATGCATTCAAGATGTTAAGGCTGCTCAGTGGGCTAGAGCACAACATTAGCCATGAGGTCATTATCATGAACTCCTTCCCATCGGTCTGTTAACACTACCACTAAATACAGAGAGCTGTTACAAATATTTCATGAAAAACTAGAAAATGTACAGATGAATTGGAGAAACGTCTCTGCGCGGAGGAAAATATAACTCACGGTAGATACATGGTCATGACATGACGTTCAAGACAGAGGACTGTAAAACATTGAAAACTGCATTGCTGTGATTCTGCTATGCTTACTTTACCCATACATAGAACACCGGCCAAAAAGAGAAAGAAAGAAGTCACTGAGTTTTATAAAACTTAATTGGTGGCTGTTAACTATTTGAAGATAATTAAAATTACATGTATAAATCCTGCCAGTTAGTCACTGTTTTACATATGGTTGCTTAGTTACTATCTTGATCATGGCATACTACAGAAAGCAGGAACATGAAGCCAAAATACAGCTATCAGAAATACTATATGACAGGTCTCAGAATATCATCCGGAGGGCAGAGTGAGAGAGAGAGATGGTATTTCTATAATGTTGTCAGGTCTGAGACACTATTAGGAAGCCCAGGGCTGCTGCCACTATTCTACAGAGGTAACTTTTTTTGAGAAAGAGAGATTTTGGCTACAGGGCATGTGTGCTCGCCAGAGACACACAGAGAGAGAAAAAACAAAAGTGAGAAACCACCCCTCCCAAGGGGAATGGCCACATCACAATCCCTCCTCCTCCATTCTCTTCTCAGAAACCAGCTAGAGTTTCATGTCACCAGGTCCAGGACTCAAACCATGGTTGTTCATGTGGAAGTCCAGCACCTAATCACTATGCCAACTGTTGAATCCTAGGGGTAACTTTTTAATTCACAAGAGACTCAAAGACTCAGCCTTAGTCAGCCAGAGCTTTTGGAGGGACCAGAAAGACATCCCTTTGGAGGGGGCTTTTCAATTAAAAACTGCTCTAAACCCAGACAGAACCTCATGTGGTAAGTGTTTTGTTTTGTTTTGTTTTGTTTTGTTTTGTCTTCGGTTTGGTTTTCTCGTTTGTGAATGAGAAGTTCTGAAACTCTTACTTCTCTGTAATTTAAACAAATGACATCATAGAGAGTATGAGGGAGTCTTCAAAATGTTCAAGGAAAATGCATTATGAGAAAAACTATGTATAGATTTCAATTTTTGTGCACCAAAATAAACTCATTTAAACCATTTTTCTTCAAACTTCTTGATGTTACTTATATTTTAGACGAAATCTAATGACCGTACAGAAAACTCTAGGTAAATATTCTCTTTGCTGTAAAATTTAGTTGATTTAACAAATGTTTTTACAAGTTGTTTGAAATGTCTGTAAACTCAAAATGTCTTATAGTGTCTCCACTTCAAGGAAGACCATTTTAACTTCTCTTAAAAACAAACAAAAAAATAGATCCTCTCCAACCAAAACAAGAACACCATAAGCATATGTAAAGCATCTATGAAAGTAGAAAAACTATTAATTTCTACCTAATCTCTTAAATACAACATTTTAAATACCAAGTAGATTTCATCGGAAATGTAAATAATCCCTGAAAACGGAAACTGTTACAAAAATTTTAAAAGGTAATAATTCTATTATTTTAATTTTGAAAATTGTACATGTCAAAGATTTCTTTCTTTCATATTTTTGAGAGCTAAACTTACATGTAAACCTCCAAAATACCTTTAAGAATATAAGAAACTGGACCAGCCCCATACCACAGTTATTAAGGGAACTGGATCCACATGGGTAAAAATGGTTTGAGTCTGGCTGCAACAGTTTGAAACATACACCAAGTACATGTGTGTGCATGCCCCAAATCCTGACAGGGGAGAGGAAGGGAGGAAAAATATTTGCAGCATGATCGTGTTCTACTGGAGGGTGCTTTCTCTCTCTTTGGTGAGTGCATGTGCCCTTTGGTGATTAAAAATAAAAAAATAAAATGAAAACAAGAATACAGTAGAACTAAATAAAATGAAAAACAATTCAGAAAACCAGTAACATGAGAATAATGGCCAAATATTTTAACATTCCGTGGTAGTAACTATTATGGGCATCATGAACTTTCTGATTCCCAGGAACCCATAAACTGTCTTCCCGTTTTATAGATGAGGTGGATATAGAGAGAGAACGCCCAAGGTCACACAGGTAGGCAGGTCCAGGTAGGACTTCAGAGCCCACCTTTTGATCCACTAAGATTCAAAGAGTCCAATGTCACTCACTGAGGCAACTGAGTTACAATGTCTAACTCTGCTGCTCAAGATCCCATTTGAAGAATATTTCATTAAATAATAAATGAGTGATTTAAGAAGTTCCACTGAAGTAGGAGTCAAAAAGTGAAAATGAAGAGACTAGATTAAATATATTCACAGGCATTTTCCAGTTATAAAACTTTTTAGTAAAACATTCTGATGTATAACAAGGCGCACTAAGTTCTATGCTATAATTGTTTTCAAAGAATGTCAAGGTAAAATGATGGCACACACGTAGGGCCTCTCGGACAAGCTGAGCTAGAGGATGAACGCTTCTTACTCCTTCTCCAAAGCCCTACCACCATCCTGACATCCTCTCCAATTAACCACCACAAATGTGTCCACAAAGAATGGTAGTTAATAATTAATGGAAAGGATCCGAAGTACAATCTTTTTTTTTTTTTTAAAGAGACGTTTGCTATAGGGCATGTGCACTCACCAGAGAGAGACAGAGAGACAAGAAAGTGAGAAATCACCCCCAGGGAGGATGGCCATAATGCAATCCCTTCTCCTCCATTCTGCTCTTGGGATTTGGGGCACACACACACACATGCACCCGACATGAGCTGTTAAGCTGCCGGGTCTAGGACTCGAACCACAGCCAACTACAAGGGAGTCCAGCAACATAACCATTTCGCCATCTGCTAGCCCCTGAAGTACAATCGTTTTTTAAAAACCTGATGTTCTCTTCTTTAGTATGTTTATCTATTATCATCTATTTAATTGTCAACTAAAATGTCCTCTCCTGGCATTAAATAAAAACTCTCATCTTGTTATCCTAGCATTATACTTATTTGTTTTTTAAGGTTTTTACCATAGGGGACATGCACTCGCCAGAAAGACACAGAGATAGAGAAAGGAAAAGTGAAAATTCACCCCCTAGGAGCAATCCCTTCTCTACTCTGAGATTTTGGGCATATATGCACAAAGGCCCAGCATGATTTTCAAGTTGCCAGGTCTGGGATTCGAACTGTGGTCAGCCATGTGGGCGTCCAGCACTTAACCACTGCACCATCTGCTGGCCCTAACACTATACTTATTGAATGGCTGGCCTAAATGTTCAGGAACAATAATCTTAACAATAGCCAAGCCTTAACTTTCCTTTATGTAAGATTTAATTTTTAAATCTACCCTCAAGCTTCAGCTCAGAAATGGGGGGAACCAGCAGTTAGCGTAATGGCTATGTTGCTGGATTCCCACGTAGTCGACCATGGTTCGTGTCCCGGACCCGGTGGCTTAAAACTCACGCCGGGCGCGTGCATGCCCAAGATCCCAAGAGGAGAATGGAGGAGAAGGATTGCAGAGTGACCGCGCCCTCGGGGGGTGATTTCTCGCTTTCTGTCTCTATGTCTCTCTCTGTCTGTCTGGCAAGCGCACGCGCCCTACAGTGAAAATCTCTCCAAAAAAAAAAAAAAAGAAATGGGCATTAAAATTTAAAAGCTGGGGCCACCAGGTGGCACAGTACTTAAAACTCTGGATTCCCATATGGCTAATTACAGCTCAAGTCCCAGACCTGGTGGCTTGCTTTCTCACTTTCTGTCTCGCTCTCTGGTCAAATTTAAAATAAATAAATAAATAATGATAAATAAAATTAAATAAATAATTTTTAAAAATAAAAAAGCGAGAAATATGTCTCAACCAAAAGTAAGTGTCCGTGTTTGTCCTGGAAGTACTCACAATCTCCTTGGTCAGCTGCCCAGGCAGACCAGGCTGCCACCCGACTTCTGACATCCACCTGAGTAACAGTCCCAGGCGGCATTGGCGCTGGGGCTCTGGGTGGAGGTGGTATACCAGGATCTGCTTTGGAAATCATCCTAAAGAAGGTGAAAACAAATACACATTTTACTATCACTATTTCTACAGCACATCAATTCTCTCCATTTATGCTATTAATTCTTCAGCCTCTAAAAGAACTACTCCAAGGGGCCATGAGCATTTGCTAACCATTCCAAATTATGTATATTTGCAAATGTATGTGAAATTCAAAAATACAGAAAAATTAAAATTCAGCTGAAACTAGATTGTCATTTCTTCTGAGTCTTGAGTGACTTGGGAAGTATCTAGATTAATTAAAGTCCCATTGTCTAATTTGTATTTCTTTAGGCTACCTTCCTTTAACACACCATTCATCTCCTACATGTATGATTCGGTGCAGTTGAAGCCATACCAGAGAAGGAGCAGGAGCAGAGACAGGAGAGGAAAGAAGGGATGAACACAAACTAACAAACGGGACAGTAAATGAGTGGAGATCACAGGTTGTAATCTGTAAAATATAACACTACTACCTCCATTGAAAAGAATGTTTCTAAAACTCTGGGCGTGAGGAGATTAAAAACAAATCAATTTTAACCCTTAATTTCTGTTCATGGTTTACCTCAGGGCTTCAGGCCGCCTCTTCTGTTTTCCCCCTTTACTATCACTGATTGCACTTTCAATATCTTCACTAATTAGATTCGCCTGCAATGAGAAACAAGTTATTTGGAAGGTTATAGATTTTTCTGAGTCCTGATATACAGGTTATACAGGTTAACACAGTAAAAGAGATTATGTTCTTTGTCTGAATTAATTAGTATCTTGATAAAAAAAAAGTCTTTCTAAAAAAAAATCTGTTCTCAAAACATGACTCCTGCAGTTTTTAATGATGAACTTTACAATGAGAAGATTTAAAAGCTGAAGGAAATTTTAAAGATGATCAAATTCTGACTTCTTATTTTTAAGAGAGCTGTCCTGGAATACAAAGACGTCAAGGACATACGTGTGCTGAAGACGACACTGGAAAAACATCTCCACCTGAAGAAGCCTAGGAGTCTTGCACACAAGGAGGATGCAAAGTAGAGTTCCCTCTCTTTCTCATTTCAAGAGCCATAAGACACTCACCAACTGCTGAAACCAATTCTCAAGTCTAGCAGATGCACTCTTAGTTTAAGGCAAATTCATTGCATGCCCGGGGTGAACCTTCAGACTAGGTTGTACCCTTCTCAATAACAAATTTCTTATTTCAGATAAAAATTAATATTTTTTTAACAAGAACATTTGATTAGGTTTTCTTGGGATCCAATGTGAGATAAGTAGCTAAGAAGTTTATTTTACTTGTTTGTGAAGTTCATCCATAGCAGTGATTGTTACAGTATATTACTGATAGATTGCTGCTCAGATGTATTCATCTACTTTAGTGCTGGCTTGTTCTCTATAATTATGTAGGTTTTCCCTCAAATATATATATTACAAATGCTTTTACAACAAGCACTGCTAGATATAAAATTTTAGAGCTGAAAGGGCACTTAAAGATCAGCTACTCTGCTCACCTTCTTTTATAATTAACAACACTGAAGAATACTTGAATGACATGGCTTGGCCAAGGGCACACGACTAGTCAAATGAGAGTGCCCATGCAACCAGCCCATGGTCATTTCCATGTGAACATTCTAGTTTCAATACGAGATGACAAATACCATGTCTCTGTCATGTGGAGTTTTAAAACGGAAGATATCCAGAACTCTGCACTTCTAGTGGGGCTATCATACCAGCACAAAAAATTTTACTACAAAGGCAGACAGGCATGTCATGTGGAGCCCCATAATTAGGAAACTTCAAAACTCAAAAGCAATATTACAAGATGATCCATATCAGAGAAATAGTTTCACATTTCAGTGCATTTGCAACTTCAACCAGTCACAGGGGTAAAGTCTCCCACGTGGACGGTGGTGCCTAGGAGTAAACGTGTGTAGCTGCTTCACAGTACACATGTTCTTAGGACAAAACGGTGTCTGGTAAATCCACTCGGACCCATTACTACTACCATCCCACATCATTAAGGCAAGCTCTTTTCTCCCAAAAATGAAATCCAGAAACTTTACTCAAAATAGTAACTTTGAGCTCCCAAAAGGACTTACAAAGCAGACACAAACCCCAACTTTGAAATGTCTTTTAACTCAGTCCCTTGTTTTAAAAATGTTTGAATTAAATTTCACTACATTTTATGGGAAAATATTCACTTCAACGTTTATTAATTTAATATCTCTAATTTTTACAAAACCCTTCATATACTTTTTGAATTTCAAAAGGTACTATGGTCTATAAAAATCTGATGGATATCACATATACAAATTACCTAAATGCCACAGTTTTTTCAAATAAGATTTTTAGAAAGTCATTTGTATCATAAAATTCAAAGAAATTATGAAATATAATGAATGCTTATAATCCATCTGTAGTAATGCAATGTCAAAGAAATAAAGAAAAGATAAGGACTGTGATAATCTCTCATAATTTATTTATATGTATATTTTATAATATAAAACCAAAATGGTAAGTTGCTGCCTTGTCACATTATCAATTAATGCAAAATTATATCCCTTTCAGAGAAATGAACTCAGAAAATAAAGACATGTGGGACCAGCAGTTATTGTAATGGCTATGTCACTGGACTCCCACATAGTCCTGGACCTGGTGGTGGCTTAAACTCATGCTATGTGCGTGTGCATGCATGCGTGCCCAAGATCCCGAGAGGAGAATGGAGGAGAAGGGATTGCGGCATGGCCATCCCCCCTGGGAGGTGACTTCTGGCTTTCTGTCTGTCTCTCTCTGTCTGTCTGGCAAGCGCACGCGCCCTATAGCAAAAAATATTCTCAAAAAAAGAAAAAAGAAAATAAAGACATGTAAGGTTAAAGGTAACTTCTAAGGTCCAATAAAGCATCACGAATTATAATTGTTTGAAAATTACAGTGCACTTTGAGATAGAAGTTTTCAGGACATAGCCTGTTACTACTGGTAACTATGCTCAACTATCTGCACATATCACTTGGGGATTACAAATCCGAAGCAATTATTCAAGTCACATAATTAAATGGTGAACATTAAGTCAATATTGTGGGAAATGTCTAAGTGCTTCACTGCAATAATCCAAGCTATGTGATTAGTGCAGAACAGAAATTGGATAGCATGATGATTGTCTACAAAGCATGCTTTTCTAACAGCTTTATATCCTAAGTCCAAAGCACTTGATAAGAATTTAACATACTATCTATACTTTAGAAAAATGGAGTGCATCTGATTTGTTAGTATCATTTTAAACTCCTCTTCACTTACATGGAATAGAAACCTAAGAAAGATATGGATGTTATTGTTTTCCTTATGAAATTCTGTGAATCTAAAATCCTAGTACTTATAGCCATATGATCAAAACAGGTCATTCTTGGTGCAGCAGTGATGTGCCACTCCCAGATCTCACATGGCAACTATGGTTTGAATCCCCGGCCCAGGCCACCCTAAACCCCCCCAGGCATTCATGAGCAGGCTCAGTCTGTTGACCTAGCCGTGGTGTGACCAGACGTTCTGAAGGATGCTTCTCTCTCCTCACATGGGCAAATACATGCTCAATCATGACAAGAAGAAAAGGCTGCTATAATACCTACTTAGAGGAGGAAGAAAAAATCCACTATTCTTTTACCTTAATCTCGTCGCACTGGAAAAGATGAAGATCTGGCTTGTTCTGGGTTGGCTCTTTACACACCAGGGCAAGAATGGAATCATAGCTGCATGAATGCATCACAGCTTGACAGTGCTGGACTGTGTTCAGAGGAAAATTCTCCAGTTCATTCTATAGATAAAGTAAACATTTTATTCTGTCCATCTTTTACCTACTTTCAGAAAATCTAATCCAATTGTACATGTTAATATTTATGGAACAGTCTAGAAAATAAAAAGAGTACAAACTGTACAAACTTGCCTTTGATTCCAAATCAATCAGGCTCACAGCTCTGTCATCCACTTGAAGAATCATATCTTGAGTCCACACTTTGCCCTTGGCATCAAGCAATTTCAGTTTCCTTATCCCGTCATCAACGGTTATCATAGCATCTTTCCGATCCAGAACAAAGGTAGTCAAGTGCTTATGATTGGCAAAAAGGAAAAATATTTATAATACAAATATATATACATGCATATATCTTTTCAGTACGTATTTGTCAAAAGAAAGTAAAATTAACCTAATTGAGATCCACCATCACAGAACTGAGGGACAAACCCAACATACCCTAGAACTTTACGATAATCTTATTGAGAGAATAAAATCAAGTGCGTTTTTGTTAAGTAGAGAAAATGATGCCTTGGTTCATGAGATACTTAAATCTGTTCATACTGAGCCATTTTAAACTATATAAACATAACATTAAAATCAAACCCTTAACGGGCTAAATAACATTTTCTTAAAATAAACTCTCTCCCATTTTATTGTATTGTGTTTATTTAAACGTCAAACAATGGCAGACAAGTTACAGGGCAGCTTCAAAACCATTGTCACCAAAATTGTTTTAGAGAACAATAGCAATTTGATTCCAATGACTATCAAACTTATCACTCCACTGACACCACTAAAAGAAAAAAAAACTATTTAAATTTAACTAAGCAAATTTGAGGTAGGTAGAAAACTAAAAATAAGAGCAATTTAAAAATTACATTC